TTTTTTGGTTTTTCTCCGGTACCGGGAACCGAACTCACGACCTTGCGCTTGCAAGGCAGGCGCTTTGCCGCTGAGCTAAATCCCCAGCCCCTCTAGTTTTCAAAAAGGAGTAACAGAACCACAAATCGAAACCTAAAAGGTTAGAATATGTGCTTAGCACGCACAAGGCCCTGGGTTCAATTCCCAGTAGTACAAACACACACACACAAAATAAAGTCAGGCACAATGCTTACACCTGCAATCTCAGTTACCCAGAAGGCTGAGGCAGGAAGATCACAAATTCTAAACTAGCATGAGCAACTTACTGAGACCTTGTCTCAAAATTTAAATGCTGGGTGATGCGGGGGATGTAGTTCAGGGGTACAGCGCATGTAAGCCCGAGGCCCTGGGTTCAACGGCCAAGGCCACCAAACAAACAAAACCCCACTAAACTGAAAAGGATGACTACGAAATAATGAAAATAGACAGGAGCCAGGAGAACAAGCTAGATCTCTTGCTGTTTCTTCCTGGGGTTCAATTTCGAACTTTGCACATGGTAGGCACATCTTCTCCCCTAGGGCCACACTCCCGACCAGATCTCACATTTTGCTGGCCTCATCTAGAGATTGCTAGGGCATCCATTCACTCTTCTAGAAAAGAAGAGTCAGAGATCAGTCAGGCACTGACTTGTCTTTTTTGTACCAACTGTACTTCAAAGTACTAAATAAATGATGATGCAGAAAATTCTTATTTACAGAAGGATCTCGGCTAATAACTGTTAAAGGATTGAGAAAATTAGAATATTTCCACTATGCAGCCCCTAAGGAAACAATGGATCTTGACAACTACAATCAGTTGCCAAAACCAAGTGACCCCACTAATTAATCTTAAAATTGCTCTCTTATGACATTGTATGATTTAGGATATAAAAGTAGGATAAATATATATAGCAATTTGAACTTTTCTTGTCAGAAACTCTGAATCTGAACCTAATTAAGGTTCTAGGCCTAGCTCTGAGTTTACAGGAAATATGGGAGACAGAGGGCCATAGCACAAAGTGACAGCTTCTTCACTGAATAAATATAATGGTCAGAGGGGAGTAGATAAGGGAAATATAATAGAGAAATTTAAGAAGCTGTGACTATACTAAAAGCACTGAATTATGCACTTTAAATGGAAGAACTGCATGGCATATGAATCAAATCTCAATAAAGCTATTACAGAAGAGACAAGAACATCAACCAAGAGCAGTGTATGGACCTTCTTTAGATCCTGATTTACACAAACCACTTGTAAAAAGAAGTTTCTACCAGGCATGACAACAGACGCCTGTAATCCCAGCTACTTGAGAAACTGAGGCAGAAGTTCAAGGTGGCCTGGGCAACTAGCAAAACCTTATTTCAAAATAAAATTTTAAAAAGGGATGGGAATGTAGCTTAGTAGCAGAGCACTTGCCTAGTACATGTGATGCCCTAGGTTCAATCCCTAGCACCAAAAAAAAGGCTGGGGATACAGTTCAGCAGTACAGTGTCTGCCTGGTAAGCACAAGGTTCTGAGTTCAATTCCCAGCACACACATTAAAAAAAAGCATTTTTAAGGCAAGCTCAGAAAACTGAGTTCAGACTGTGTTTCAAATGAGATACCTGTTAAGTTTTTGATTTGGGTAATGCTATGGGATTTTTAAAAAAATTTTGTGCTGGGTGTGGTGGCACACACCTATAATCCCCGCACTTGGGAGAGGCTGAGAAGGGAGGATCGTTGTGAGTTTGAGACCAGCCTGGGCTACAAAGTGAGCTCAAGGCCAGCTTGAACTGCATAGCGAGACCCTGTCTCAAAAAGACAAAAAAAAAAAAAAAATTAATTTGGTCAGCCATGCCTAATGAAATACACAATAAAATATTTGGGGTGAAATGATATGATTTATTTTAAAATACTCCAGGAAATAAGAATAAAAATGCAGGAAGAGGAATAAAACAAGAAGGCAGGCTGATAACCTGTTGAGACTTGGAGACGGTACATGCGGGTCCACAGAATGCTGTCTGCTCTCAAGAATGTTTGAGAATTTCCTTAATAAAAAGTAATGAATAAAAATGACATGGCACCTGTCAGAGAGATGTAGCTGGATCACTGTGGAGGGCATGTTTGAAATTTTCTGTAAAAAAATATTTTTAAAAGACCAACAACATACAGAAAGAGTATTTACTGTATATATGTGTATCACACAAGGAACTGTATTGGTAAACATCTTGCAAACAGAGAACTCGGCTCACCCCTGTATATCACACTGGTATATGTACGGCAATTTCAATGATTAAATGTTGAGTTTATAATTTTTTTAAAAGTTGCATTGATATAAAAGCACCTGCATGTACTGCTGAGGGTAGAAAGGAAGGAAAATTTTGGTTTTACTTTAAGCATGCCTGCATTTTTTTAAGATCAGACATTAGGGGCTGGGGATTTGGCTCAGCAGCACAGCGCCTGCCTGGCAAGTGCAAGGTTGTGAGTTCAATCCCCGGTACAGGAAAAATACCAAACTAAGATCAGACATTAGTCTTATAATACAAGAGTATTTTTTTAAAATATTCAATAACTCTTGCCTCCATAATACATAAAACATTTAAAAAAATCTTACCTGAGGAATGTTCTTAGAGGCCATTGTTTGCAAAAGAGCCCTCAAGGCACTACTTATAGCTTCTAGAAAGTCAGCATTTTGGGCAAAATCTGAAACACAAAAGTTACCGTAATATACAATGATGAAATAAGTTTTTTCTTGTTCTAAGACAAACGATTGTGTAGAAAACAATTGGATCAAAACAGGCATGTTACATATTAACAGAGGCCATCGCTGATAACGTATTTACGATATTCAAGCCAACATGCTTACTTAACAGCCACCTGTACACTGCACAGCAAGTCTGAAAGAGGAAACGATCAAGGCGAAGGAGTGCCCCGCAGACAGGCCTTACCAGGGTGCGAGGCACTTGGGTTTCATCTGACTCACACTCTGGCAAACCCGCACTGGCTGTTGCAGATGAATTCAGTCTTTCACAGATTTCCAGTGCCAGACAGAATAGAAAAGTCGGCTCCCAAACCTGAGTGCTTCCTTGCTAGCCCAAGCTAAATGCTGAGCCAGGACCTGTGTTGCTCATGTGAGGCGGCCACTGTGTCCTCGGTCATCACCGACCCACTTCCTTTCCCACTCATGTTCCCATCACCCTTTTCTCACTGTCCCTTCTACCCACAGAGGACAAACAGAACAGCACCTAGCCAACAACGGCAGTGTTACCCCAGTGATGCACAGGGTGAGGGGTACCTGTGGTGGGAAGGGGAAGCACTTCACTTGGGGTAGTACATTGTAATTTCCAAAAATGGTCACAACAGTATTTTCTGTCCCGCATGCTATTCTGGAACCTTGCCACTTCCCATAAAGATACGGAGTCTGTTTCTCCACTTCTTGAATTTGGCTGGGACTTTGTTGACTTCTTCAGCCAAATGCAAGCATGACAGGCTAGCATAGAAAGGAACGTGACTTCCACCTGACTTGCATGTGTGAGCTCTTCTTCTCCCGACTCTGCCCTTGGAACCCGGCTATCACATGATGGGGAAGCCCAGATCACACGAGGAGGTCACCTGCAGGTGTTCTGCCTGAGAATTCCAGCACCATCTGTCAGAGTGAGTCAGGAATACTTCAGATGATTCTGGCTCCCGGCCTTCCAATTTTTCAGCAGATGCCCTACAGGGACATGTCTCCATGTCACCAATGCTGACATTCTGGACCTAATACTTCTCTGTTGTGTATGTACAGGGGTCGCCTGTGCCTTATAGAATGTTATCAGCACCCCTGCCTCTACCCTTTAGACACTAGTAGTAAACTCCACACTGTAACAACCACAGATACCCTAGACATTGCCAAATGGCTGGGGGAAGAGGGGGTTGCTGCCTGGTCAAGATTCACTGCCTAGACGTTGTGCATAGAGACAAACGGTCTCTACTGTACCCTCTCGAAATTCCTGCCCCAGAGATACTTCTAGAAGGAACAACTGATAACTGCTTTTGTTTGACAGGGTCTATGCTGCCCAGAATGGTCTTGAACTCAGGAGTTTACATGATCTCCCCACCTCAACCTCCTTAACTGCTGGAACCACAGGTGTGCTTTACCACATCCAGTTTGATTGCTGTTGCTTTAAGCCACAAAGTTTGGGCTTGGCTTCTTGCTTTGGGGTGCTTGGGACCCTGTCCTGGCTCTGACTCCCCTTTTAGATTGCCCAGGTGAGAGACAGGCACTTCCCACACAATTTAATCAAGGTATATCTATATATATTTTGGCCCTCTCATTTACAAATATGTATTATACACCAAAGCGGAGGATCTCTAATTCAGATTAAATTAATGCAGATCAGATAACAGGATAACTTTAGGATCCGAGAGATCTGAGATAAAGTCCTGTCTGATATTATATAAATCCTCTCACTTCATTTTAGGCTTTTTGTCTTTTTGACATGGGGTTTCACTATGCAGTTCAGGCTGGCCTCGAACTGGCAGCATTCCTCCCGCTTTAGCCTCCTGAGTGCTGGGATTCCAGGCGCGTGCCCCCACACCTGGCTTGGGCTCATCTCTAATGTTATCTCTTCAGAGAGGCCTTTCCACACTTGCTGAACACAGCATCTCATACTACTCTGCTGTTATTTTTCTCTTCACAGCTAAAGTTACATTAAACATTATGCCGGAAAGCAAACTCCACAAACCAGTGACTCCATCTGTTCACACAGTGTCTCTAGGACTACAGAGTGTACGCCATAAAGTGCTCAATAAACACATGATAAACAATGAATAACCACGACAGTGTTCTTTAACCTCTACAAGTCTCAGCTTCCTCTGAAGAAGTGTCTGTCTCTAAAAACTGGAATCAAACAGGCACGGAAAAGCTGGTGTGAAGGTCTTACTAGTAAATTTTTAAAACTTACCATACTGGCTCTTAAATTTATGTCATACTTGATTAATGTTCCAAGAGTAGCCTTAGAAATTGATGAACTGCACATCAAACAAATTAAGCTACCTTGTGTTATGAAAAACTAAATACGAACAAAACACATCTCAGATTCAATTTTTTAATTTTATTCTAAGGACAATAACTACTACCTTAGTTCCAAATACTAATCTAAACTATACAACATTTTATGTTATGTGTAATTCACACTTTTATCTAGATCAGGGGTGGCAAACCTAGGGCACACGTGCCACAGTGGGTTGTTTGTAACATTGAAAGTTCTAAAAGGTTCACCATCACTGATCTAAATTACGGAAGATATCTAGGCAATTTTTATTTAATTCACATTTCTGGCCATTTATCCAAATTTTGGAAAGGAATTTCAAACCACCTGTCTTTCAGCTAAGTTTTCAGTAAAAGAATGTGGCACTATCAGAGAAATTAAGCAAATGTCAAGAGAAGTTGAAAAAGAGAGGTGATTCAAAATGACTTCCCTCTCAAAAATGTTATAAAGAATGTAAGAATCGGGGCTGGGGATTTAGCTCAGCGGCAAAAGAGCCTGCCTGGCAAGCGCAAGGTCGTGAGTTCGGTTCCCGGTACCGGAGAAAAAAACCAAAAAGACAAAAAAAAATAATAATAAGAATGTAAGAATCTAAAGCATGTCTAAATGTACGTTAAAGATGGAAGAAAACTGACAGACTGACCCAACCTGAAAATATACCATTATTAAAAATTTGATGTTCTGAAAATCAACAGGCTTTTTTTGTTTTGTTTTGTTTTTGTCTTTTTGAGACAGTTTCACTATACAGTTCAGGCTGGCCCTGAACTCACTTTGTAGCCCATGCTGGCCTTGACTTTGCAGTGATCCTCTTGCCTCAGCCTCCTGAGTGCTAGGATTATAGGCGTGTGCCACCATGCCCGGCTGAAAATCAATAGCTTTTCATGGAAACAAAGATATTAGTGTTTTGAATGCAAGAACCAGATTGTACTACAGAAAAACCTCTCCTTTTATCCCTGGTGTCAATTATAGAGTAGGGAGTACCATCAACTTTGTAACTATTTGGAGCTACATTTGGAATCAAAATGTGTAAGTTAGGGACTAGGGACACTGCTCAGTGATAGAGTGCTTGCCTAGTATGCATAAGGCTCTGGGGTTGATCCTCAGCATCGAAAAACAAAACAAAACTACAAGTATTAAAACAAGTTAGATAGAACTGTATAAGCCTCATATATTTAACTCTCAAACATGGTAACACAAGAAGTACACAAATTTAGCCTCACACTGCCCCCCAAGTTCTCCAGAAACAGTTTAAAAAGTCCCAAGGATTATAAGAACAAAATAAAAACTCAAAGAAAGGAGAAAAAGAAAACAAAAAAAACCCATAGGAGCCAGGCGTGGTGGCACATGCCTGTAATCCCAGCACTAAGGAGGCTGAGGCATGGGGATCGTTTTGAGTTTGAGGCCAGCCTGGGCTACATAACTGAGTTTAAGGCCAGCCTGAACTGCATAGGGAGACCCTGTCTCAAAAAGATCAAAACAAACAAAAAACCAACACCCTATAGGATTATACTATTTAATAAATCCCAAAAGTTTAGAAGGACTATATTAAACCATTATGTCTCAATACTGAGAAGGTAGTTCTCTTTTACCAAATGTCATTCTGATAGGAAAATTTACTGTTCCAAAATAAATAACAACAGTATTACTTTTTGAGCTGCTTCTTAACTCTTACTTCTCTGAACATCAAAGTTAACAAATAAAAAGACTACAGATAGGACCATGAGACACAGTCTATGGATATTTTAATGGCAATCTTCCCCCAGCAGTAACTTTACCCTTCCTGTTTACAATCCAAATCCTTTCATAAATGCAAGGTTAATTCCGATAACAAATCCCTGGGAATAACAGATCTGTGCGTTATGTTTTTCTTTATTAAAATTATTTTCATCCAGTTATGAATCATAAATACCACCAAGGCCTCAATAACCTATTTAGGCAATTCTTTATTCGTTACTTTTCTTCTTAACTATAAGAACTGAAATCTGATTGGGTAATACTGTATGCAGGACAAAACTCCAAAGTTATTACAGGGTATCAAGTAGACAGCCTCCCTCCTCTGCCCTGTCAGCCCAGCTCCCCTCCACAGTCAAGTCACTAATCCACCAGTTTATTGTTTGCTTGCACAGAGAGTCTCTGGAGATGAGATAGACATGGGTAGAGAGGACAGGGGGCAGGAAGTAAATGGTGTAATAGCATACCCAGCTCTGCACCTTGCTTTTGTCTAACACGAACACGTGCATAGTACATACTATATGTTTTAAATTACAGGTGTCTAATACAGGTTTATTTCATCTGGACTCAAAAACTCAGGTGCCATACCATAGTCAACTTTTAAAAATTTGACAACGTTTAATTAATCAAAGAATAAGTTGGACAGCTCACAGAACAAGGATAGGCTCTGTAAGACTTCTTCACTGGTTTCCTCCAAAAGTGAATTGCGGGTATTCAAACCTTCTGAATGAGCACGGGAGTAGAGCTAGCCTGTCAGCCTGTAGTTCTGTATTGCCCTCCTGACCTTCTCAAAATCTGGGAGACCTGGACTGTGGAGCACGAGGGGAGCACTCTGCAGGACCTCCTCAGATCTCTTACTGTTTCCAAACCTGCCCAACCTTGAGGGAGCCCTGCCAGCTAACTCCTGCCTGTACACCATCTCTCAGGGAACCTGATCAAGGTACCAAGATCCCCATCCCTGAAGGCCCGAAGTTTATTTTACTTAAAGTACACGCAACCATCGTATACCTCTGCTAGCCAGAAAATGCTTGAACCCTGTTCATCGGGCTGCTTGTGCTCACTAGTGGTTAGTACTCATTATGGCCAAGGTCACAGGAAAACCACCCCAAGCTGAGTCCTGGAGAAATAAAGGAATGCTTTTAAACTGTGGGAAAAGAACTTAAACATTTTGATCCTAAATGACTTCATTTTGTGACTATTCTTGAAATAATCTCTTTTTAAAGAAAGTTCAGAAATACACATGCTACTAGGTTAAGACCATGTTTATGTTTCCTAAGAGCTATGATGTATCTTTCTAGAAATCACCCTCTGCAAGTCACCGTCACAATAGTATTTTTGAAAATCTACCCACATGTTATGGTTTGTGTCTGGGTGTCCCCCCAAAGCCTCATGTGGTCATGGGGCGGGCTTTTAGAGTTTGACTGATTATGGGTGTGAGAGCTACACCCGCCCTGGGGTGGATAGTTTGCATATGTAAGGGAGAGGAAAAGGCTGCTTGGGGCCATTCCTCGCTTTTGTGCTTGTTGCTTTGTTGTTCTGTTGCCATGAGCTGTAGCCTTCTGCCCTGTGCCACTCTGCCTTGTAACCTGCCAAGTACGGACTGAAACCTCCACAAACTGTAAGCGAAATAAACTTTTCCTTCCTTAACTTTGGGCATCAGGAATTTTGTCCCAGCAACGAGAGAAAAGTAACCAAGACACCACATAAGGATATGGCCTGGTATACTCTGACTCTGTACCGTAGGACAGTATAAATTATAATTATTAGTGCCTGGGAAAGGTTTTTGAAGCTTGGATAAACAACTTGTAATTATTATTATTTTGTTTGTTTGTTTTTTATTTTTTTGTTTTTCTTCTGATACCAGGAATCGAACTCATGACCTTGCACTTGCCAGGCAGGCGCTGTGCTGCTGAGCTAAATCCCCAGTGCCAACAACATGTAATTATAAAGTCCAAGTTCCTGCTTCTTCAAAATTCTGTTCTATCCAAGTAGTCTTTCTTTCTTTTTTTTTTTTTTTTGGTTTTGTTTTTTTTCCAGTACCAGGAATTGAACTCATGACGTTGCACTTGCCAGGCAGGCACTATGCTGCTGAGCTAAATCCCCAGCCGCTCCATGTAGTCTTTCACAGTAAGGTCTAAATATTTACCTGGTTGAGAAAAAAGAAGTTGTGACAGATGCAGTGCAAGTGTCTGAAGGGCTGGAGCTCCTCCCAGATGGTCCACATCCAGGAGGGACACAAGACTCTGGAGACCCACCAGGGCTCTGCACTGTATAGTGTTCATTCTGGAAAGAAAGTGGAACAGTATGATTTCTCTAGAACTCACCCATCAGCATTCAGTGCTAACTTCTTATCTAAGCTGCAGGTTCTGGGCTGGGAGTGTCTAAGCACATGCGGGTCTATGGCATGTGGCAAAGAATCGTGAGGTAAGAGGTTAAATCTGCCAATCAGACTGCTGCAGCACACAGGGCCCTGGCGCGGGATTCATCTGACGAGTCACAAGGAAGCTGCTTCAGAAGAATTTCAATTCAAGGTAACATTTTTGAAATTATTTTAAATTAAGAAACACACTGTGCATATGGTCCATGCAACACACACACAGTTTAACAGTTTATAAAGCAAACACTCACACATCTGTGTAAGAAGTAAACATTGTTGGCACCCTTGCAGCCTAGGTATTCCTTCTGACTATGCCCCACTTCCTTGAGTCCCGAAGGTGATCTCTTCCCAGACTCAAGAGGCTACCTCCTTGCTTTTCTTTGCAGGCTGGCCACCTAGGCATGTATCTCTGAGAAAAACTGTTTAGGGTGGCCTGGTTTTGAACTTTGTAAAAATTGAGCCATACTGGGTATATTGTTATTTCTTGCTTTTTCTGCTGAATGCTGTAAGTTTCCTTCATGTTGTAAGTGGTTCTGATTCAGACCCTTTTGACTACATTTCTAGCGAATGATGTCAGAATGTATTACCCAGGGCTCACTTCAGCAGCACACACACTACAATTAAAACGTAATACCCATTCTACCTGTGATGCACATCAAGGTTGTTTCTAGGTGGGGCAACCATGAGTCCAGCTGCTGAGAACACCCTCATGTGTGCATCCTAGTACGGAACACACTTCTCCAGGTATAAATCCAGGAACAAAACTCCCACGTCTTAGGAGAAATCACTACTATTTTGTATGCAGTGGTGCAACATTTCACATAATGACACGTTTTTGAAAATAGAAGAGTTCTTACTTTCTAATCAAAGGTTTCCAAGGAGGGTGCCTAGAACATATGTCAACTGCAACGCTGTTTGGAAAGGCAGTTTTCTCAAAAACCTAGGTTTAAAAAAGGCAGAAAGTCAAAGATTGAAGAGGAGTCATCTTACACATGATTTTTGTGTAAGACTTTGACATATTACAGTGGTACCTCAGCTGTCAGACAGCTCCAAGTTTGAACTTCCCACTACTCAAACAGCAAAGATGGAAAAAAAATCTGCTCGGTGTTTCTAAGTTTGCTCGATAGTCAAACTGAAAATCTGACTTCAAAAAACCTGTACAGGCTGCGTGCAGTGGAGCTGCAGTCCCTGTGATCCCAGCACTTGGGAGGCTGAGGTAGGAAGATCACTGAGAGTTCCAGGTGAGCCTGGGCTACATGGTGAGATCTTGTCTCCAAAACAGGAAAATGTTTTTTTAAAGAATTAAAAGAAAAAATACATATGGGCTAAGAGTGAGTCACGCTTTGCATCTCACTGGAGACACGAAGGGGTGATGCTTCAGTCTGGGCATTGCTCTTGCCCAGATAACATACAGTGCTTGTGTTAGTGCACCAAAACAGTCATCATGTGCTTTGTCCTGTTGTACTTTATTTGCATAAAATATAACCATGGCTCCAAAGAAAGAAATACCAGCAATAAAGCTAACAGGAAAATTGAGAACCACGAGAGAATTAAAGAAATCACTGCAAAATCTGTCGAAAGTTCTGGAAAAATTTTTGGGCCTCCCAACCAATTATGTGGTATTCCATTATTTCTTATGGGAAAAATATGTTCAGTCTCAAATTTTTTGGTGTTTGAACACGAATTTGGAACTGGGTTTGACAACCACTGTATCACCAAACTTCCAACTGAAATGGTTAGGCGTGGTCAGGATGGAATGTTCTATTAGCCCACTTCTAGTATTTTTTTTAACAATATTAGAGGGCCAGGGATACAGCTCAAGGGCTGGGGATAAAACTCAGTGGTGCAAGTTCAAGGTCCTGAGTTCAATTCCCAGTACAAAAAACCCCAAAAAAACAGTACCAGAATTTTTCTTCTCTTTTGTCTATTTGTAAAATCCATCTTCATCACATTTTACCAAAAATGGTTTTACAAATATGTAAAAGTGTATGAGCTAATAGTAAAAAATGCAGGTAGAGTTCTTGTATGTGCAGCTCAATGATCAGTCAAATCTCCTCCAAGAACGAGAGTCTTCACCATCCTCTTCACCATCATCATCTAGTGTTTTATTTTCTTCCTGGTGGCACTGGAGACTGAACACAGGGCCTGCACACTGAGCTAGCTCCCCAGCCCTTTTAGAACAGTTTTTTGCTGGGAGTGATGGCACATGCCTGTAATCCCAGCATTTGGGAGGCTGAGGTATGAGGAGCAGCACAAATTCAATGCCAGCCTGGAATATACAGTAAGTTCAAGACCAGCCTGGACTATACAGTGAGACACTGTCTCAAAAACCAACACCAAAAAAAAAAACAAAAACAAAAAATATTTATTTATTTATTTATTGAGACAGGGTCTCACTAAATTGCATAGTTCAGGCTGGTTTTCAGTTCACTATGTAGCCAAGGCTACCCTTGAACTCATGACGATCCTCATGCCTCACCCTCCCCAGTGCTGGGATTATAGGCATGGCCATCATGCTCAGCCTAAAAATTTTATTTTGAGACAAGGTCTCACTAACTTACCAAATTACCCAGTCTGCACTAGAATTTTGAATCCTCCTGTCTCAGCCTCAAAGAAGGCTAGCATCACATGTGTGTGCTACCAAACCCAGTTTTAATTGTTTTTTTGACCATGAGCTGCAACCTAGAAGGGTGTGCTTACTTCTTATACATAGAGAGTGAATAACTTACTTAAACCTTCTCCATGTTCTTTTTTTTTTTGAGACTTGCTCTGTAATTCAAGCTAGCCTTAAACTCAGTATGTAGCCCATGCTGGCCTCAAACTCTTACCAATCCTCCGGCCTCAGCTTCCCGAGTGCTGGGATTATAGGTGTGTACCACCACACCTGGCTCCCTTGTTTTTTAATGAGCCTGGAATGAAACAGATTACCTTCTTTGGGATGAGGTAATTGGTGAGAGCGGTGTGAATCTCATGGGAGAGGCAGAGTGGAGACAGCAGCTGCCCACCACTCTCACTGAAGGAATTCTCCAAAAATGCATCGCTTTCATCGCTGCTAGAAAGCTCTTCCCATTCGTCGTCGGAGGGATCTAGAAAGCATGCAAAGCACACATAAGTGGGATTTTAGAGGAAGTCCCATGAAAGCTGCCCTCAGCCAGGAGAAATGTAAAGGTAGCAAACCTTCACTGCAGCACATGTTGACAATAATTTCCAGAGCAGTCTGCTGAGCTGTGAGCAATGCTATGGTCTCTTTCAGTTCCTTGTCAGTGGGCTTTAAAAAAAAGAAAAAAAGGGCAAAAAAATTTGGCACGAATTTCCTTAATTAAAGCCTTCTGGAAAATTTTTTGCACTTGGAATAAAGCACATGGTGGTTAGAGTAGGTACAAGAAAAACCATAAAGTTCTACAAGTACAAACAAGCATTATAATCCTTCTTGGCACAGCGCAACCGCTGCTGCAAACTGGGTTTCCACCCATCTGCACGACTGTTCTCTAAGTACTGCTTAGGTAGGTAGACATTCAGAAATTCTGAACTCAATTTACCCTGAAATTTAATCTAACATGTTAAGAAGTAGCCTGGCATACTAAGATTAAAAGTTTACTGTGGACACCAGGCACTTAAACACGCGGAACCTGCTTTTACATGCCGACTTTTCTTGGGAAGACTGCATGAATACATGCTACTACATGCTACTAACAAATCCTTATATGACCAACAGAGCTTGGCTAAGGAGCACACAGACCTGCTTCTTGGCTTTCTTTGAAGAATATATTTATCTAAGAGTGAAAAGGATGAGGACGCTTTTCTCTGAAAATATGTAACAACTTAAATGGGGATATAAATATATCTGACCTTAATTCTTAAATTGCTTATGAAATAGCCATAAGGACATTAATGATACCAATACAGTGGAATAGGCTAAAAACAATGCCTGCTTTCTTTCTTTTTTTCTTTTTTTTTGAGACAGGGTCTCACTAGGTAGTTCAGGTTGACCTTGAGCTCACTTTGTAGCCCAGGCTGGTTTCGAACACACAATTATCCTCCTGCCTCAGCCTCCTGAGTGCTGGGATTACAGGCATGAGCCACCACACCTGGCCAATGCCCGTTTTCTTGTCTATTTCCATTTATTAAATGTTCCAAATTGTTAACAGTTTTCCAGCCATCTCTTATCTTTTGTGATACTGGGGACTAAGTGAATGCAGGGCCTCATACTGGCTAGGCAAGGCCTCTATCACTGAGCTACATTCCCACCAACCCACCTTTTCTTTTTTTGTACTAAGGATTGAACCTAGGGCCTTTGCATTGAGCTACATCTCCTTGCCAATTAATTAATTAATTGAATTATTTATTGGGGGCAGTATCTCAATAAGTTGTCTAGGCTGGGCAGGGATTGGTAATTCTCCTGCCTCAGCCTCCCAGAGTGTGGGAATTATAAGTGTGGGCTATCATGCCTAACCCTTCCCACATTTTTTTTTTTTTTTTTGGAGTCAGGGTCTGTTTGCTGAGGTTAGCCTGTAACTTTCTTTTTTTTTTTTTTTTTTGGTACCAGGAATTGAACTCAGGACCTTGCACTGGCCAGGCAGGTGCTTATGCCACTGAGCTATATCCCCGGCTGGCCTCTAACTTTCAAATGGCTCCTGCCTTGGTCTCCTGGGCAGCTTGATAGGTCTTATGACATATTCCTGTTTCCCAAGGCTTGTAAAAATGCTTGTACTCATTTAAAACTCAACCACTTCTTTGTCCAAAAATTTAACTGCAACTCTGAAAATGTTAAAAGGGGGCAGGGGATATTGCTCAGTGGTACAGCACGGGTTTAACCTGTACAAGGCCTAGCATTCTCTCCTCAGCACTGAAAACAAGAAGAAAATCGCTACTTTAATACAGGTCACACAGGAATTCCCAAACTTGCACTGCATTTATTTCTACTATATATACAATGTATACAAACACTGTTGCTATTTGCAACTAAACAAATCTTTATTAGAGTAGACTCAAGCTAAATAAGACTTGTTCCTGGGTTCTCATCCACGTAAAATGTAGGAAGATCTAGTTTAGAAGGAACTCTGAAATTAGGTTCCACTGTATATAACTGCTACTCAGAGCATGTCTCTGCTGTTCATCAAGGTGACACAAAGACTCAATCTAGACAAAATGCTATGACAATCCAGATTTGCTTCAAAGTAGCCAGCAGAGTGAGTGAGGAAACATGAAATCAAACAGAAAGGCTGGTGTCAATGCTAAATGGGTGGGTGGGTGAGTGGGGTACTGTGCTTTAGCCTGTGTTAGGAGAAAACAGTTGGATTATACTGTTCTTTCCACATTTACGGTAATGCCTTCTTAAGTTCTGATTCTAAAGGCCTCCAGCAGAAGCACTAGGTAGCGTGTTGACCATGGTTAGCTCTAAATCTGCCACAGATGAGCATGATGCCCAGAACCCTGCTGGAACTGGCACTTAAACACAGGCTAGCAGATGGCCAGCATGCTAACTGCTCAGGCTACTCAGTTAAGACTTTAAAAACCAAGTTTTTGCTATGAGAAAACCTTGTACTTTGTAAGCACGACATCCTTTTTAAGGCAGAGTTTCGCTATGTATTTCAAACTGGCCTTGAACTCACGGTGATCCTTCTGCCTCAGCCTCCTGAGTGCTGGGATTACAGGCGTGCACCACCATGCTCAGCTTAAGTAATACTTAAGGGAATGTCTGCATAATGCTAATTATCAACAATTTACAAACAGGGCACTTCTACGTAGGGAACCTCGTTGGTCTCTCATTGTACCCCACAGAGAAATGGCAGTGAGTATGAGAAAAATAAAAACAAGAGACAATAGCTGGGGTCAGGTGGAGTTATCTCTTACCTGATGGACAAGAGGACTGATTTCAACAGTAAGGGCGTTTCTTCTATACTCTTGCAAGTTAGTAGCATGAGCGGTAATGTTGCCTAGCAACTAATACCATAGTTGTCCAGGCAAGATGTCTTTCTGAAGACTAAGGTGGCTTGACTGCTTGAGGTACTCTGGCTCTGTCCTGCCCTCACACATATGACCAATTTCCAGCTCTAGCAGCTCCCAATACTTCTACACTAACCTCAGTTAACCTCAGCAGACTTGGGCCTCATTGTCAGGTCCTCCCTCTAGGAGGCCTTAGAAGCAAGCCTGGAGAGGAGGGAATCACATGAGGAATCCATCGTCCCAATCCCAGCCTTGGGAAGAAAAACCAAAAAAAACAAAAACAAAAACAAAAAAACCCATGGGGCTGGGGATTTAGCTCAGCGGCAAAGCGCCTGCCTGGCAAGCGCAAGGTCATGAGTTCAATTCCTGGTACTGGAAGAAAAACCAAAAAAAACAAAAACCAAAAACCAATCCCAGCCTTGGGCTTCAGATCCTTCAGAGGCCCCTGACAGCCTAACTGTAATTTCCACTTCACAGTGTGCCCGAATCAGTGAGGATAAACAGAGACCTGAGTGTGAATAATGGCAACAGCAGAAGCTAAGCCTGTAAGCACTGACTTCCTCTGTCCCACATACACAAACGAGGCCAGGCACATTCCGGGTCTACCACTCTGCCTTCTTGATACCTGCCTGCGCCACATAGTGCGTTCGAGGCCTGCCTGAGCTTCATAGCAAAACCCTGTCTCTCAAGGGGGAGGAAAAAAAAAGCAAGCACTCTGCACCAAGTCTACAGAAACTACTTCCTTGGAAATGTAGGCACCATTCCTAGCACAGCCCTTATGACTGACCATAGGCTTAGGCATCTGTCCTAACATGGAGAACAGGTCCACAGGCCTTCACTAAGTCACTAAATGCCCAAACTGAGCTTAAACTTTTGATCATCCTACCTCAACCTCCCAGAGTGCTGGGATTACAGGTATATGCCACCACACCCAGATTAAAAGATTTATTTTAGACGAGATTATTTTTCCTCTTTGGAAGTAGACTTCTAATGTTACAACAAGAATCAATGGGAAAACATGACCAATTTTTACTGAAATTCATTTTCTACAGTTAATTTTACTGTAATTTTTTTCTATAAAGCTTTGAAAGAAAACAACTGTGTCAGTCCACATTTGGGGGCATTAGTCTGACTTACTGGAAGCAAATCGGAAATGAAAGTTTTCTTTCTTGCTTTTCTTTTACGAGGAATTTCTTCCATTTCATCATCTTCCATCAAATCATCACCATTAGCATTCTCTAAAATGTCCTCCGTCTCTGCAGCTGTTTTTAATCGCTGGGTTTCGGCCTCTTTCATCTGAATAACTACCTCAGCAGCATCCATTTCCAAAACTTCGGACAGGATCTTTAGTATGGCATTTATGATTTCTGCCTGACTCCGGGATGGAATAACGTCCTTTAGATTCCAGACTGTGCCTGGGGGAAAAATAAGCATAAGGACAAAAGAACTGCCTGGGAAGTCTTACATTAAGCACTGTTTCCTCAAGACTGGGTCTTGAGGCTCAGGTGGAATTTCAAAATATCTCAACCATGCTGCCTTTGTTCAATTTTATTAAATGTCAAGAGGACCTGCACAGAGGTAGCACCTTTGTTATAATCCTTCACAATCACCGGCCTGCCTGGGCATACAATGCCTTTCTCTGACACACAACACAGCATCAGATGAGAGAATGCCGGTCAAGTTTCTTTTAAAAGGACAGTCAGTTGCCCTGCTTTCTTTCATCTTTACCTAAGCTGCTCTTCTCAGCAGCTTCTTATTTTCCAACAGTGGAATGGAATGCATTAAAATTCCAAGGTCTCATGTGCAAACCAGAAAGCAGGTTCTTAGCTTTTCACTTATCAAAAGAGAATAGGAGCTACTATTAAGTAGTCAGATTAATTTTTTTAAAGTAACTGAAAATAAAAACACTACGCAGGCATGGACCCAAAAGATTGAAAGTAGAGACTCATGGATTACACCCACATTCACTGCAGCGTTCTTCACAACAGCCAAGGGGCGAAGCTGACCCAAGATCTCATGGATAGAAGACTAACGAATAAACAAAAGGCTTCATGCCACAAAATATTATTTAGCCTCCAAAAGGAAGGAAATATTGACACATGCCGAAACTGACACAAGCTATCACATGGATAAACCTTGAGGAATTTAGACTGAATGAAACAAGCCAGTTACAAAAAGAAAAACACAAATGATTCTACTATATGAAGTATTCATGGAGTCAAACCTCTAGAGGGGGGGCGCTGGGGATTTAGCTCAGCGGCAAAAGCCCTGCCTGGCAAGCGCAAGGTCGTGAGTTCGGTTCCCGGTACTGGAGAAAAACAAAACAAAACAAACAAACAAACAAAAAACCTCTAGAGGGGGTAAACAGAATGGTGGTTGTCAGGGACTCGGAGGAGAGGAAAATAGGGAAATCTGAGTTTTAATGGGCATAGTTTCAGTTTTACAAGATGAAAGAGATCTGGGGGTTTACTGTATGTATTTGTGAATGTATGTTACATGTATGTTACATGTATGTGATCCAAACATGTAAAATGGTTAAGATGGCAAATTTTATGTTATGTGCATCTCACTACCGTAACTTGAAAAACGTAACAAAACTGCTCATGATAAGTTATCTCTGCAAAGCCAAAGGGAAAAAGTGAAGTACAGATAGAAACTTATAAAGTATCTATTTCTCAACAGATTATTAGGTTATTTATTTCTATATTTAGCGAGACTGGGGTGAAAAGTGCTAGAGGGAAAGGACTACTGGAGAAGTCTCAGTCATCTCATCACTGCCCAGAGTCAATTTCTGGACTCACTGGCTCATAAATAAAAAGACATCCTGACCAAAATATTTCTTTACCAGACAACAAAAGTATTCCACAACGCTTTGTATAACTATGCACAACTACTTGAATTAAGGGTCTCTACTTAAAGATTAAAATTTTCAGAATGGACACAAGCATAGAAAGCCCTGATTTGCTGAAATGAAGGAAGAATGAAGTTCAGTCTCCACCTCTATCCACTGCAAGTTACCAAAAAAGGTTCACATTTTATTTGGCCAAACTTTACCTGCCACCAATGTCTTTAATAGAATGTACTCCATGGAACTGGCAGGACAAACCATTGCAGATTCCAGCACATGCAATGCTGTGGCACTGAAAGATTTCAGTAGGTCTGGGTTATCTTCAGTTACTATCTGTAAACAATATGCTATAAGACAAAAAAATTAAATACTTAGAAACAAATGAATTGTTTAGGATACTTTATACCACAACTGCATAACTTATCTAAAAAAAAAAGTGCACCTTTTCAACTTCTTTAGACACATGTAGCTTTTGTAAGATATTTAAACTTTACCTCAGGGGTGGTATATGCAAATAAGGCTTCCTAAATAATTAGTGGTATATACGATCTTCTTTCTTAAAATGTCTCATTTTTACAGAACTATTCTTTCACAAAATAA